TTGTTGGAGCATACGTAATCCTAAAATGTAGCATCGTACTACAGATGGCGTTTACCGCGCCATTTGTGGTATTTTCTAAAACGCGCTGTTAAGACAGCAGGTAAAAGTTAGTCTGTGTTCTGTCGGAGGTGTCTGCGACGCGCTGATGAGATCCAAAATGATAGGAATCGCGATCCGAGTCTGGCAGTTTCGTCAGATGTGGTCGAATTAATTTATATCTATGTAAGTCAATAAAAATAGGCGAGATAGGTTAGGTTACTAGGACACCTTCTCAGGCATGAAGGTCTAGTCAGAGACATTCTAAAGGCAGAAATAGGAGCTAAGAGGAGTAGAAGTAGACCTAGATTAGATTACTGTTCACAAATATTTACAGACATGGGATTTTCTAGTTTTAGGGAAACGCGAAGATTAGCTCAAGATAGAAAAAAGTGGAGGTGCGTGTCCAACTGATGACCTTATGATAATGATGCATGTGTGTAAGTATTCCACAATAAAAATCTTTTTGTGAACATGATTTTCGTGACTACGTGGGATAACTATGAACAGAAGTCTTACCTCTGGACATTGGTGAAATTAGATGTAATGAAATGCTAGCACTTCCCATGCTGTACCCGTACAGAGTTACACAGTTTGGATCTCCTCCGAAATAAATTACGTTATCTTTAACCCATTTCAACGCTAAAACTTGGTCCTTAAGACCGAGATTGCCCGGAGCGAATTTATCACCTGTGCTGATAAAACCTAGAACGAATAATTTTGTTAAATGCTTAGAGTTTTAAGTGCAATTAATTTCATTAATCAGCAGTATACGGTGAAGTATATATGTTACTGGAAATGTACATAATTCCTGAAATCGCCCGGAAATGTGTGAAATAAATTTTATTAGACACATTTCCTAGGAAATCTGTACATTTTCTAAATAGCAATCCCAAATATATTACAGGTGATACTAAATAGGCAATAATGCGACAGGCTGTTTGGAGATGTAGCTATATCCATTGGTGACGTCATTGTTTGGTTAGGGGTGAGAGGTGTATGACAGACAGGAGATCCTTCAATGCCCCTGTCCGCCGGAGACGGGCTGATATGTTAGATGTTAAAATAATATAATGAAGTTATCTTTGTTTCAGCAAACACGATGACCTTTAGTTTGTTATAGAGATGATAATGCTGATCATTTTCATTTATATATGTTGGGTGCGAAAATCATAATGATGCATACTTTTCGAGGACATTATTCCAACATATCAGCCCGCCTCCGGCGGGCAGGGGCATTAAGGTAACTATACTGTCATAAATCTACAAAATAACCACACAATAACGTTACTAATACATATACATCTCCAAACCTAACCTAACCAAACAATAACGTCACCATTGCATATACATCAGGCGATCGCACTTGAACCGCGTAAACACAAATAATTCTGATTCTCAGTTTACTAACGTGTTTTATTCATTTTATTCACAGAAAGCATCAGTTTTATACATTTCCTAGTACAATATCGGGAATTTCATACAATTCCTACGAAATGTATACATTTCCCAGGATATGAGTTTATTAAAAAATCTTTGAAACAATATTTTATAGATTTCCTAAATAGCCTCGGAATTGAACACAATCCTTAAATTTCATACATTTCCGGTAACATACACGTATATTTTTATTTACATTTGGTTAAACACATCTTGCAATATAAGACTGTCCCATTTTCTTTCTAGTATCGCAGTTTAAAGGATAAAACTAAGAGGAGTAATAAGATATAACATGAGACAGATATTAATATAATATTTGATATTAATATAATATTTGAGTTATATTTTTGACTTTAATACCAAATTTCTTAATTTTTAGTTACTTATTAGTTGTAACAGGTTTGAAGTAATCAATAATATTTGGCTTATATAGAAAACGTTTGATTATTATGCTAAGTTACAACGAACAACGGCCATGCTGAACAGATTCGTGAATGATTTCCATGTAATCAGGGCCGGCCTTAGCCATCGAGAAGTTCCGGGCGGGTAAACTTTTGCGAGGCCCTCGTCTTTGTGAAATTAGTTTTGATGATGATACTTGACGACAAATTCAAAGTTATTCATAAACAATAAATATAGTTATTCATAAATAATTGGAAAATTTTAATAAAAGACAGCAAATTTGCAGCTTTTTTAAGACTATTAAGAAATTCAAATAAGCATTAGTAAGTACTATTACTACGTAATAAAGTTAGATTGCTGCAAGAAGGCGCGAAGCCTCTGCAAGAGCGAGGCCCCGGGCGGTTGCCCTGCTCGCAACCCCCAAAGGCCGCCCCTGCGTACGGAACCCTAAGAACTACGCCGAATGGTGAAAATACCATCAAAATTTGTTGATCCGTTCGAGAATATTGATGGCGAAAAATTTTGAAAAATATTTTTCATTTGAAACGACATTCGAATTCCTAGTAAGATCGAGATTTGGTACTTAGCTGTTTGTGCTTTATAAACTTTAATAAATACGTCAACCGGTTAATTCGTTTAAAAGGTGTTTCTGCCCAAATACTAAAGAAACGTAATTTGAAACAATCATCGGATTTATAATTTCTGAAAACTCAATTACAAACGCTTGAAGAAATAACGAAAACTTTGAAGGGTAGCCTGCAATGTCGACTGATGTTTTTCATATTTTGAGAATTTACCTTCCTGGGCACTAACCCCTAGCGCCCCTAGTGTAAATCCAGTGCTGTGCTTGTGTGTGCTAAAAAGAAAAAATACCGACAAAGAAATGTGTAACTTCTATGATCTCGACTTACCTGCATACTTACGATTGGATACGTAAATTAATCTCAAAATTTATCAAATTCAAGTTTTAATTTTTTAACATTTTTTATTGTCATTTTTTTTGTTATAAAATTATATGTATAAAGAAGTATTTATTTGAAACGACATGACATCAGCATCATTGTAAATAAAAAATGAAATAAAGTTTTATAATATATTTTTACGAAAAATTTATTACTATGCTTTTATCTACAATATCTTTTTAACATTGATACAGTTATATACAACCGTTTCAACAAATATCGAAAATAATTGCTGAAAGAAGAGAAAGCTTTTTATTAAGAATGTATTTACAAAATGATTCTGTTAGTTTGTTCAACTTTACATATTCTTTAGTACCTTTTCTTAAACATGACTATTGTTTCCAGTGTTAAAAAAGCTTATTTCTAAACTCATACGTTAGTTTACAATACGGCATAGTTGAAAAATTAGGTAAGACGATAACCAATATGAAAACGAACATTTGTAAAATAGTAAAAATCTGTATCTCCAAATATAGAGGAAAAAACGAAAATTGTAGAGGTATTGATACATTTAGACTAAAGGACAAACATTTCGTACATATCAGTTCTTATCAACACGCCACAGGTAATTAGGTGATTTGGAAAAATCACCGGTAGAACCGAAAATCCTATGGAGTGCTGACAATGACTAATAAGTTCGAAATTGCGATTTGGTTTTTCGTTTTTTCGATAATGAATATTTTATTACAGCCATTTATTTTAAAATAAATTTAAAAAACTAAAACATATGAAAAAACTCAAAATTGGTCTTTATTACTCACATCCGGAATGACGTAACAGATTATTTTTTCTTTTTTTTTTTATTAAATGTTATAAATATATCCTCACATTAAACAGCTTTTGTCTTAGTTGTGATAACATATTTGCAAAGCGTTATTTACGCTGCTAGATGTATCAGTTATAGTATGAATTGCTGTTTAATGAAAAAACAAAGGTGAATATTATTGCAAAATTATTGATCAACCAGAATCCATTAAAAGTTAACATAACAATAACGTCCCTGAGAAAAACAGTATTTAGGCAAAATAATATTATATATTAGGGGTCATTTTTAAAATACGTCACACGTTAAGACGGAAGGAAGGGGTCGAAATATTATGTGACAAGAAGTGGTAGGACGTTGCGTGACGTCATATTTCAAAATCTAAAGTATTAAAATGCCAAATTTGAACTATTAACGAAAATTTAAAAATATTTCCAACTCTATCTGTATGGGCATAGGGTTCAAATATTTAAATTGTTTTAACAATTTGAAGGGGTGAGTTCAAAGTTCATGCATTCAAGACCATTGTTCGTAATTTTCATTAATATAATTAATAACCCTTTGCAGTGCTTTTGTGACGAACTGTATGCAAGTTATTGGTTCAGAACCCATATGTTGGAAAGTTGTTTGTGAATATCAAAATAGATGTTGTGGTAAGAATTAATTNAATCGAAAAAATGATTTCAAATTAATACCCCTAATCTTGTTTTAAATTCATAAAAATTAATGGTTTTTAGGAAAAAAAAATATTTTTGTCCTTAATTTATAATAATATTTACCATTCGAATTCTATTATTTTAGACTGCTAGCAACACTGCAGTGTTCCGAAGACGTTATATTGTGTCGGCCTCTTTTAATACCAATAACACAATCGTTGCATGGTTTAGTAACATTCCGTATCATGGAGCTCCATTATCACTAAATCTTGTCATGAATTCGATCATTAAACAGGAACTCGGATCGGATTATGAGATTAGAATTAATAATTATCCTCTACCTTTCACTATAGATACGAGAGTAAGTACATAAATAAGTTGATCTATTACAACACTTTTACAGACATAATAATTTTAGTTGAGACAATTAGCAAATGGAAACAACATGGGCTTTCAAACGGCTTTTAATTTGGGTTTTAGTATGGCATTTGTTTCTTCGTTCTACATAATGTTTTACGTTCGGGAACGTGTCATTAATGCAAAACATCTCCAGTTTGTTTCGGGAGTGAGTGTCGTCATTTTTTGGGCCGCGTCTTTTCTAAATGACATTATCACCTTTATAGTCACCGTAATATGCACCCTTATTACATTGGTCTGTTTCCAAGAAGATGGATTCAATACATTTGATGATATAAGTATGAAAGATTTATTTGTCACTTTCATTTCTAACTAATCTTTGAAGTTAAAGTCGTTGATTTTCACTTTTTCTTTTACAATCAATCAATTAATAGATATATCCCATACTTAAACTAATTGTACATTCATGTATTCTTCTAAATGAATTAGAAGGATGAGTAACTTTTAAAAAAACAAAGGAGATAATGGCTTTTGAGAATTTAGAATCCGGTTCATCCTTGAAAATGTAAATTTGAACATAGGCGATTTTTTTTCATTTTTGAATAAGAGATGTCGACGTTTTGACATCTATTTTATCGAACTTTTGGTAGAATTCATCAAATAAATCAGAAGAAGTTACAGTAATGCGACAAACCAAGAAAACTGGGAAATATGAAAATAACAAGAAAATTTTAAAAATTTAGAGCAATTTTAAATGCAACTAAAATTTATTTTAAAATTTCAAATTAAAGTCGCATTCATCAGTGATTTGACCTTAGTGGATTTCGATTATAGGTATTAAGATTTATCTTTAAAGAGAGAATTATCAGGTAGACTAAGCTCTAACAGCTGCCAAAATTTGTGTAGGCCAGAACTCAGAAAACCAACGACTTCAATGAAGAACCATCACAATGCTTCACATTAGATTCTCTTTTTAATTAAGTATCAAATATTTTGAATATAACAGTAATTTTGACTGATTTTAGATAGAATATTTTCTGTTTTCCTGTTCTTCATTTGGGCAGTTCTCCCTCTAACTTACTTGGCTTCATTCGGATTCTCCTCGCCGTCTTCAGGTTTCACCAGAATGACCCTTATAAATATATTTACAGGTAAACGCCACCATTTAACCACATTTCCTGTAACATATGTGCCCCCAGTGTACATAAATATGAATACCTTCTTTTTGTTTACTTCTATAGGGGTTGCTGCTTACTTAGTAGTACAAGTTCTTTATACAGATGGACTAGATCTAGAATACGTTGCTGACATTCTTCATTGGATATTTTTACTGATACCTCATTATTCATTCGCAACTGGAATTAACAAATTGAATTCTAAATATTCAACAAATGCCCTTTGCAGTGCTTTTGTGACGAACTGTATGCAAGTTATTGGTTCAGAACCCATATGTTGGAAAGTTGTTTGTGAATATCAAAATAGATGTTGTGGTAAGAATTAATTTTCCCATAATGAATTTTCGGAGTTCGAATTCAAACTTAAATTGAATAACTAACCAACGTACATGTAGTTATTTTAATAAGTAGTTTAATTTTCAAATGCAAAAAGGAAGAATTTGAAGAATTTCACCTGAAGCATTAATTCTAGCTGATCATAAGCCCAACAATCAGAATACCAACAATTTAAAATCCCGATAAATGAGAAATCTAATAGAAGAATCGAAGAAGGAACCTAAAGTATCCTAACGTAGTACAAATTTTATGGGCTTATGGGTGAAAATTTTGACTCATCAGGATTTTAGATTATCGGAATTTGGTCTGACTAATTTACTGATGTTGGGGTTGTGACTGTCGCGATTTAGAGAACCACCGCATATTGATATGTACTTTTTCTTTAAAAAAATGGAAACTTTTGAATACCCAAAAGATCTACCGTTCATACTATACTTTCAGAAACCAGTTCTTCCCGCTTTTTCCAAAAATTTCAGTGTGGAAATCCATTTTCTGTCTCATTTCGTGTAAATTTCAGATATCAACTTAAATTATTATGAATGGAAGGACCCTGGAATTGGAAGAAACTTGACATTTTCAGCTCTCGTTGGTGCCTTCTTGATAGTAGTCTTACTTTTGCTGGAGTACCGCGTTTTTCACAATCTGAAGTACTTTTTCAAACCCTTTTCCTCCAAAGAACAAGTTTCCGTCCAAAATGATGCCGATCCTGACGAAGATTTCGACGTTTTCCAGGAGAAACAAAGAATAAGAAACGCTGCCGTTTATGAACTTGAAAATACGAGTATTGCTTTACGCGACGTGACAAAATTTTACGGGAAATTTTTGGCAGTGAATAACATTTGTTTGACGGTTGATCGGTACGAATGTTTCGGGCTACTGGGGGTAAACGGAGCCGGTAAAACCACCACGTTCAAAATGATGACCGGGGATGTGATGATGTCGTCTGGAGACGCGTGGGTCAACGGATTGAGTCTAAAGGAGAACATGAACGAAATCTACAAACATATTGGATATTGTCCTCAGTTCGATGCACTTTTAGATAATTTAACTGGAAGGGAAACTTTGAAAATGTTCTGCATGCTCAGAGGAATCACGTACGAAGACAGTGAGGCCGTTGCGGTCAAGTTGGCTCAAGATTTTGACTTTGTGCGGCATTTAGACAAACAGGTTAGGGAATATAGTGGCGGGAATAAAAGGAAATTGAGCACAGCGGTTGCCTTGATTGGAGATCCGCTCATAATTTATTTGGATGAGCCTAGTACAGGTATGTCATAAATCATATGTTATAATGTTTCAGAGTTTTCCTGATTCTAAACTAAATAAATTAAAAGACTTGAACAATCATATCAAGGTATGGACAGTATATCGCCATCTACCTATATTTTCTCTAACTATACTATTTCAGAACGTTTAACAAAGTCCTTGCGATGGTATACAAGGTCTGTTAAAACAATTTTGTTTTTCATCAAAAATTATTTGTTTATTCATGAATATCTATTTTGCCCTCTTCAAAGTAATTTCCACCAGATATTGCAAACTTGTGCCAACTTTTTTCCAATCCTCGAAGCACTTCTAAAAATCATTTTTTGTGATCTCGTTTAGCTCCTCCTTCGATGCCGTCTTTATCTCCTCAATCGTAGTGTAGCGTAGCGTCGTCTTTTTATGGGCCTCTTCAGTTTCGGAAACATGAAAAAGTCACAGGGGCCAGAACTGGGGAATACGGTAGTTACGGCATTATTAGTGTGTTGTTTTTGGCAAAAATTAGCGCATAAGGACCGTTATGATAGTGCAAAAGCCAATTTTTGTTCTTCCACAAATACGGGCGTTTCTAGCAGATTGTTTCGCGCAAATTGCGCATAACTTGCAGGTAATATTCCTTATTGACCGTTCTACCCTGTGGCAAAAACTCATTATGCGTCACGCCCCTGCAATCGAAGAAAACTGTAAGTCAAACCTTCACATTCGACCTAACTTGTCGCGCTTTTTTCGCTCTTGACTTATGCGGCAGCTTCCATTGAACCGCGTCATAACCATTAACCCATTATTCTTCACCAGTTATGACCCTTTGGAGCAAATTTGGGTCGACGCGTCCAACAGATTCTTAGCAATATTAATGTGATGCTCTTTTTGATTGAAATTGAACAATTTTGGTACTAAATTCGCGGTCACCAGTCTCATGCCTAAATCATTGGTAAAAATCGAATGGCGGGAGCCAATCGATATGTTTAGATCCTTAGCAACTTCTCTAACGGTGATTCGACGATTGGCCAATATTATTTTCTTGAAAAATTTGATACAGATTCTTTGATCCATTTTTTGGAATAGAAAAAATCGAAAACGAGCCAAAACACGTGCAAGCAAAAAAGCTGTCAAAAATTAACTATACATTCAACATTATCGAACTTGTCGTGAGAGACATGAGTACCAACATAACGTCACTAAAAAATAGAAAATCGAATATATATAACCTTTCGCGATGCTTTGAGAACAGACTTCGTATACCTGGTCAAACTAATGGGAGACCCATAATATTACGTTAGGACACTTTGGTCTTTATTAATTGTTTAATTATTTATTATTAATCAAGAATTGTTCCCTATTCATTTTATTAATATCTCTTTCCATTTTCGAATTGAATGAACCAACTGAATTCTTTATGTTCATGCTGTCTTAAAGAATTTTTGTAAACATCACAAATTTACTGCGGTTTTTCAGAAAATTCACACACTTTTAATCAATTTGGGTTACAATATTCTTAATGCAATTTATGAAAACTCTTCTACCAATTGTACTAGTGATAAGTTACGACATACCTATGTAGATTATCAGTAGGTATATCAAATCAGTTTTGATCGATCCTTAATGATAGGTATGGATCCAGCTACAAAGCGCCATTTGTGGAATGTCTTGAGTTATGTACGCGAAAAAGGAAAGTGTTTGGTTTTGACTTCACACAGCATGGAAGAATGCGAAGCCCTTTGTACCCGTTTAGCCATAATGGTCAATGGAACATTTAAATGTATAGGGTCAGTGCAACATTTGAAAAGTAAATTTTCTGAAGGGTACACATTACAAGTTAAAATACGTAAAACTACCAGCGATGCCAATAATTTTCAGAGGGAAATAAACAAAGTGAAAGATTTTGTTGAAACAAATTTCCCTGGTGCCATACTTAGAGAAGAGCATCAAGAATTACTTAGTTTTAATATTAGGAATAAATCGTTACAATGGTCGACAATGTTCGGGATCATGGAAAGAGGAAAGACTGCTTTGAATATAGAAGATTATTCATTAGGGCAGTCGAACTTGGAGCAAGTAAGTTTTAATAAATATAATCACTTTTTTGTTGAAAAACATGTAGCAGGTAATGTTTCTCAAGATGATGTTCGACACTCTTTACCGAATAGTAAAAGAAGTTTTCCTTTTCCAATTTATTACAATTTTCCGATATAATGCATAATTATGGAGTAATTAACAATTAAGGCAGTTAAACAATTGAAAATACAACAATGAGTACAAAAGACAAAATTGAAAAACCGTTAAAAAGGAAAACCGATTTTCACGAACCATTAAAACAAAAGCCTGCAACAAATAGGAAAGGATTTGTTGGCTGTGCTTTGACTGTCACAAGCAATTGAAACTAAAGCCCAAAGAAAGCTTTGACTAGTTGCTAGTTACAACTGAAAAAGAAAGCTGAACTGGCTATCACTAGCAATTGAAATAAAGTCTAGCAACAACGAAAAAATACTTCGATTGATTATTACTGACATTTAAAACAAAAGCCAGTAATAAAGAGAAAACACTGTGCTTGATTGCCACTAGCAATATAGAAGTGACACTTTGATTGCTTAATAATTTTCAGCTTTAATTGTTAGTTAATCCATAATTACTTATCGATTCGAAAATGCGAAGAAATTTTCTTTCAAAATTACCCAGGGATAAGAATAGAATGTTTTCATTAGAATACTCACCGTTTTTAAGATTCTTTTTTATGTCTTTTAACGATTAATATTTCTTTCAGGTATTTTTATCATTTACCAAATTACAAAGAGAATCATTCTCGTAATTGTGATTAAACTAGTCAATTTTGTGATAACGTTCAAAATGGAATTAATAGATAAAATAGTACAATGTTGGAAACTATATGTACATAAGTATTTCGGAAATAGTTTAAAAGTGCATTTGTTTTATTACTGTTTAGACAGATTTTATTCTACTACCGTTTTCAAAGTACTTACATAAAATTTTATACTAATAAGTAAATAATTAGATGATAGAAAAACAAGGAATGAAAAGGAAATTACGGTGCTATAGATTAGTGTTGAAACTATTTATTGTTAATTGGCTATGAAGTCCCATATTTATCACGTGTAATGTCATTTAGTATCACTTCTGTGTTGACTTTAAGGTCGCTAGATACAGTTAATAATAATTTGATTTTAAATGTTTTTGTGTTCATCAGATTACGTGTTCCCATTTACCTTTTCCTAATAGAGGCTTTAAGCTATATGTATGTACGTATGTCTACAAATAAGTAAATATTTTTTTGTAATAGAAGTGCTAAAAATACTTAGTAGATATTTATTTTTAATAAAGGTTTGAATTTATTTCCCTTAACATCATTTCCTAAACTGCAAATGCATATTATATTCAGATCATGGACTTTTTATTAATTTTCCTGTAATCTATAAGTAAAGAACTGTTTTATATATTTTTTTCAAAATTTTAGGTTCAGTATTTAAAAAAATATCTATATATTTGAGGCCCTTACAACAAGGCCTTTCACTTGATATATCACACGGTACGGTTTACAAAACTTTTTTTTTTATTTCCTATTGGTCTCCCAAAAATGACCCTCATGTTCAAAATTTATTTATTTACGTTATGCGATCGTGTTAGGGTTACACAAATTCATATGTGTACTAAATTTCAACTCAATCGGTCCAGTAG